CCAAGTCACTAAATTTTATTCAAATTACTTTATTTTGCTTGTATATTCATGTATGAAAGTTGATGGTCTAGTATTTTTTAAATAAACATTGTTTATTAATTATTAAATAAATTATTTTCATTTTCTTCTCTCCAAATCCTTAGTCTTCATGAAAATGAATATTGTTCTACTCGCCTCCCAGATACTCTAACTTTGGTGAACTTTTTTTTATTTGATTCTGCAGGTCTTCAAAGTGCTTAGGGTTTTGAATAAAAAACTTGGACAGTCGCCCTGGCAAGAAAATTGCATCACTATCATCCAAATGGCATATCACATTTATTCCATGTCTCGTCTTGATTTTCCAAGCTGAAGTTATGGTATATCAATGGGTGACTACTAGTTCAGACAATTTGGCGAGTAGAAGTTGTTTCATTTTTTCGTTTCTTTCATTGAAAAGAGCTCGATCATGTTCATCGATAATGTTGGGATCAGGCTGAACATGGCCACTGGATCCATCCTCAGTATACAGGGAAGTCGGACAGCCCTTTTCGATATGTTTGCAAAAATTTTCAAACTTTTTTGGATAATCGTCGAAGAACTTGGTCACTCGATTATTCATGAAAATGGAAGGAATGTTTGACAGATGCAAAATAGTTGCCGCACCCCATTTTGTCTCAGCCTTGAAAGCTGCCGTGATAGTGTATAAGAAATTGTCCTGCAGTTGAAACAACTTGATAACGGGCAGGTCTTGGATCTCTGCGCTAGCGTTGATTACATCGAATTCAGTTGATCCTCAAACTTCAACTTTGGATCATGATGAAAGCGTATATTGTTATATTTTCCACCCAAATATTGCAATGCTGGTGACCCCTTGGCAATATATTTTTGGAAATTCTCGAACACTTCGTCATTTTTTGCGAAGAATTCAGCTAACCTTTTATTAACGAAAACGGTCTGAGTGTTTGATAGATGGACAATAACACTCTCTCCATATTTTGTGCTCATCTTACGAGCCGCTGTGATTTTATAGAAAGAGTTGGGATTCAGGTCCGAGAGCTTCACCAGGGGAAGATCTTTCAATTCTCCCACAGCGTTGATCTTGACAAAATGCATGATGTTTTCTCCTTAATCAAGTCGCGAATAAAGAACGATGACGTAACTTTTTAGTTTTTTACTTCTCAGGATACAGCTTGGAAGCATCATCAAACTTTTCTACACTTATAGTTATTCACTGAGAACGGTTGATTAACTGATGATGATGATCAAATTTTCGGGGATTATATACACGCAATGCCCACTCTATCTCTTATAACTGATCATAACCATAATACGTATATGTTATTATTTATAATGATTAGCCGGGGGATCAGTATTAGTAAGGATAATAAAGATAACGTCATATATCTTATGAACATAGGAGTTCTAACATGTTTGAGCTAAAAATAGTCTGGATAATTTCAATTCCCACGAGTCATGTGGTTAATATCATTGAAAGCGGCATGTTTGAAGTCTCAAGTGGGGTTAGCTGGCCCATGGAGGCCCCGACATGCTTTTTGGCGGTGGGGAGGGGGGGGGGGGTTAAATGTCAAACTCCCACCCACCGAGTCTTCAGGTAAACAACTGATTCTCACCTGTCAATCAACGAACTAATCAAACCATCAATTAATTGATGATCCAATGGTTCATTAATGAGACCGCGAATTAAAAGCGCGAATTAAAAACACCCATCCGCCGATTCAACCGCCATTCCACCACCACCACCCACCTGTTGTTCACCGCCACACGATTAATTAACCCTTCCAGTAAATCACTCACTCCCCCCACCCTAGACTACACCCATTCACCAGGTAAACAATAGATTTTTTTACCTGTCAATCATCGAAATCAATCAATCAATTGATTAATTAAGCAATGACCACAAGGAAGCCATCACTCGCCATACGGCTGTCCCTCTGTAGAGATTATTGTAGGGAAAAGTATCGGAGGAAATATTGGTTAAGGAGAATTTGTGGGAGAGTTGTACGTGAAGTGAAGTGGAGGAATTGGCCAGACCCGGGAATGAAAACAACGAACGGGATCACTGTGTGGAACATTCTTGGAGGAGTTTTTCGTTGAGGATTTTTGCTGAGAGGATTGAGAAAGCTGCCATCACCATGAGTACCCTTGATTTCCTTTCCCACCCCAACACCAGTGATTGAACCCCGTGTAATATTTTCCCCCCAACGGTGAGCCTCTGGTAATATTATTTCTTTGGACGCCTGTAATTAGTCAAATGGGCTGAATTGTTTTGTATGAATTTTGTGTAGAAAAGTATTAGAATATAGAGTGTTAAATTATCAATCACCACGAGCAATCGTTCACAAGCTCCTCTCCCCCTTACTATTTCAGGTCCTCCATTAATATTATCCATTAACATCATGCCATCGCCGGGCATTAATAGATTTTTCACCGGCTAAGGTCACAACTTTAAAATATCATAAGTTGCTGAAAAATTGAGATATTCAATTTTTTTTTTCAACTTACTCAGAAAATTAGAAACTTCAATTCTAGAGATTTTTTTTTTCTTATTGTTTATAACAAAGTGATTATAATTTGACATTTCAATTTTAAAATTAAATTGGCTGTCTTTGACAAAATTCATTGTTTTTTCAACTAAGGATTTCATTATTTCATGAATTTCCAATGTGCGTTTGATTTTTTTTTACCTATCCGTTCCGAGCAGGTAGAAGAAAATTTACCTGGAGAAATATTTTTAGAGGCGGCGCCTTTGCATTTACTACGGAGTGACGTACTTTACGCGTATGCGCCAGTCAGTCTCAATGGGCCTCTGTGTGTCTCCTTTATTCTCCGTTTGCAGTAAATTTTGAACAAATCTTTCGACTTTTGATAAAATTAGTTAAAATTGTGAATTCTGTGATTTGTTTAACTGTGATTATAGGTGAATCATCGCCGTAAATTTGAAAAAAATGATTATTTAAGTGATGTTTTTCTATTCTCAGAAACCACAGCGTCTATACTTGCTCTCTATTTATTTTACAGAAATTACATGTATTTGATATAAATATTAGAATTTTTAGAATCCCCTGGCTTCTAGCAACCCTACCTCGATTAATTTTGATTTTAAGAGAAAAACTAAAAAAATCACTCTTTTATGTAATATTGGATGCTTTACCACTTCTATGAAAACTGTTTTTTCCTAGTCCTTATCGTTTTTCCAAAATACATAAAGAAACACTTTATTGAGTTTTTTCACCCTTTCTCGGGGGCGAATTAAAAAAAATCTTTCACAATTCGTTTTTCCATCTTTCAAAGTAACTTGTATCCAAAATTCAAGTATTTACCGCAAAATTCGCATTTGAAGGCCTATTTTCTTGGCCTAAACTCGACTTTCCTTGCAACCGTAGATCGAGTGCGCAATTTTAATGACAACCAACGATTCCAGTGTAAAATTTCGACTCTTCGTTATTACCGAGGGGCCCTGCTCATTATTAAAGCCGACCCTTCGATGTCCGTCTGTTGTGAAGCAGCTCTGCAGCATCGCTTACTCTTATCGTTACTAGATCAAGTGGACAAGTCGATTTTCTTCACTACGTCAGATCGATGGATTTACTTCAAGGGATGCTAACCAGACAATCCCGTTACAAACTCTTGAATTTCGACGAGGGGACCTGCCCATGATTACCCCTTTTCTTTATCTTGGACTTTTACTATTCTGCACCTCAAGTGAATTGTAATAAATTTTAAAAAGGGAAACTTGAGGGTATCTTTCTCTTTGTGTCGTAATTTCTCATATTATAACCAGTGTGTACTTCAGTACTTAGCCCTACGCAACAGGCTCCACTAAGTGAGAATTATAAGATCGTTTCTCCTCCGGACACTATCTGTCGTGACTAGTTACGGTCAACTCACCTGAAGTTCACCTCTTATTCCATATTTCGATTTACCTAGTGACCCAGTGTCCGCTACAACGGATTGAAATCCCTCTTTAAAAAAATAACCCTGTTGTATGGCAGCATAGGAAGCAAGGCCATCTGACGGTGACCAAAAAGGCCTTCAATAGATGGCATGTTTGACTTTTCCCCGATGAGGAGCCAAAGGCATAGTGGTTTAGGTGGAAATCGCGACTCCTGTAGGCTGGCACTTGGAAACTTGCCCAGCAGGTCATAACGACCGAACAACGGCACGGGTAACAGAATGACCGTGCTGCCGCTGAGATATCACGACTAAGAGGTAAAGAACCTAGGAGATTTGGGACAGTGGAGCATGAGCTGTCGATTAGAGCGGTTGTAAGGTTGCTCACTTGCTGGAATGGCTGAAATACGTTTAACAGGGATGGGATAGATTAGGTTCGCGGGTGATGGCGACCTCCGGCCTGCAAAAGCCGAGAAGAATCCGGGGTTTCTCACGGTGGACGAGAATTACAAATGTGATATCGGATTACCTCAGATCTAATGTTCTTCCTCCCTACCCCCTTGAGCGTTTAGGTGAAAAAGAATTGTATGTGACATGCGGCATGTAGCGCCAGTTTGTGATTTGTCTGACTTCGCAACATTCGGCAGTCGGTAAGGTTATCGACGCTTCATGCTGTTAACTCACTATCATTTTTCAACCCTCCGCTTAGAGGTGTTATGACACAATATACCATTGCAGACCATGTGGCATAGGTTACTCTATGTCATGAGGTCCGGATAACCGAGTATTTTTATTGCCCTAGGGAAGTAAGTGAAAAAAACCTCCCTGACCCACTCACCTCCATAGGGCAATGCAAGTACGAGGTGAGGTATGGCTAGGACATAAATTTATTCGACATAAAATTCCTTTTTAAGATAGACTAATAACATGAGTGGGGTCCAAATATCTGAAAAAAATAATCGATAATTTAAAGGAAGCTTACCTAGGAACTGAAGAACTTTTGCCAAATTAGTGACGTTAACTGGTCGAAATGTTTACGATATTTTAATCTATTTATCGACTTTAACAAGAAATGTGGAATTATAATGCCAATCGGAGACATTTCTTACCTTCATACGGCAATAAGTAGGTTCGGAATCGAAGTCTAGCGACGATAGCTGGTGCATAGTCGTTCGACATACATTTAAATCAGAAGTGAAATTACAATTAGACAGTCTCCGCTGTGATGGGATTGCAGTTTGTGACTTCCAGTCCAAACTGGCCATTGATCTTGTCAATTCGCGGTCTTTATCCCGACGCCGTGACTTATAATGCAAACTGTCCATTATTGAATCGAGCTCCTTAGAGTGGAAACTCCGTGAGTTATCACTACAGAAGTTCTTAGAAATCTTCGAACTTTGCCACAAGTCTTCAGAAGTGTATCCACTTATAGCTGACAAATTCTCAACAAGAGTTACTGCAGGACCCTTCCGATAAACTTGCAAATTATCCTTTCTAGGTAGTGGGGGATCGAGCGTTATTCGTGTTTTGAGTGGCGTTAAAAGATCTCGTACTTGTTCCTCCAGATAACTAATTCTGTGCGTCAATCGCAAATTTTCAGTTCGTAATGATCTCAGTATTTCCAAAGATTCACTCTTTCGTAATACGACAATCTGTGCAGCGTCTGGGTCCACTGCTAGAAGCCTGGCCAAGTTACTTCTAGAACAACTGGCCACTAATTTGCCATTTACCTCCAAAATCCTGTCAAATATTTAAAAAGAAGGTTAGGATTTGTATATGTAATGTTCTCTGTAATGATTGGTGGGGTATTTGTAACCGTTTTGGTCTTAAGAATCTTTCAATTTTTAAACAGTGAATAGAAGAAACATAAGGATGAAGAATAACCTTCCATACAATGAACGTAGAAAAAACAAAAAGAACAAAATAATCAAACATCAAAGTATGAAAAATCTGAGTTACGTGTTTTTTGTGATATATTCATTGAAATGTGACTGTTTGATAATTTTGCAGCGATTCGCCTCACCTTTATCAAACCTAATCAGACCACCGAGTTTTTTTTGTAGAGTATCATCAAACATGATAGTGGGTATCCTAGAAACTAACTAACTGCAACACTCGCCAAACTTTGTGACAAGGCAATTTTTTATATATATATTTTTTGCAATTTGCTTCTAATTAGGTCACGGCGAATTAAATTTAGCTAAGGCTGGAGTAACACAGATGAACTAGGTTATAAATTCTGTCACCTTTGAACTCCCACTCCCAAGTGATTACACCCCCCTCGCCCGTTCGCGCGTCGTGGTTCTGACGGAAACAATTAAAAGAACAAACACACCCAAAGACGAGTGCCCCCGATGAACCCCGATTATCGTAGATTAAATGCGGATTAAATTTATCAGATTCCAGAACTTATTTCTTTTCTCTACGCACTTGAAAATTTACAGAAATTTTATTTTCTAAAATTCCCACGGGGCCCTATACTCGCCAATCGCCCCCCCCCCCCCCCCCGCATTAATGGTTTGTTTTTCTCATTTTTTCCTTTCCTTTTCCTTTTCCGAACATTTTATATTGCCATTGGTAATTTTGTTGTCGATAAAATAACATTGACAATTTCATTAAATGTTTTATTGCGCAAATTTGTTAAGATAAGGTGGTTCCTTAAGCCGAATCCGGTTTTCTCGAACCCGGTTTTTTCCTGGTTCGGATCGAATTTCTTTTGTGTTTAATAAATTGTGCTGCCCAGCGTACTTTACAGATTATTAAGTCTACCGCGACGATATATATCCCTCTTTCTTTCGAGATGGCTCCGCGGAGTAAAATAGTAATAACAGTAGAGAATTAAAAAAGTTCAATGGAGCGGCGGCAGTGGCCACGCGGGTATGTGTAACTCCGGCTGTCATCCAGGCTAAGCAACGCTCAGTTAGGTTAGTACTTGGATGGGTGCCCGCTTAGTCACACCTCTCGGCGTGAAGACCTCTGGCATTAGGCACGGGTGTAGAGAGTTGCGGTGTTCGCCGAGTCAGGGTGATGAGCACAGCAGAATCCCTGCATTACCGATTGGCTGCACTACTGAGGTTTTCCATGGTTACCATCAGTAAAAGCCAAATGGGTGCAGTAAGGAATGTCGGCCTAGGACACCACAAAAAATAATGAGAGGACAATAGGAGAGGCCAAAGGCTAAGACGAATGGGTGCCTATCAAACCATGAACAAAAAAATATGGTGGTAGGGAAAAGAAAATGTAAATGAAAAAAACATAATAAAGTTCAATCTACCCCAATCTTAGTACGTCCGACCCTACCCCGTCCTGCCCCGTTGAATCCACCGTCCTTACAACCACCACCACCACAACAACTATGAACATCAGGGCCGCTGCCCCCATAGTTAATCCTATAAAATTATGATATTTTGAAGGATAGATTCGTTCGATATGAGGTGCGGTAGATCTTTGTAGACCCTGCGGCTGCTTGGAACCATGATATCGTTTCCACGGGGATGCCTTTTATAACTGGCGGGTTTAGGGTTATTTCGGAGTTAATGGCTCATTTTAATTCCGCCCTTCTGGCAACTTACGTTCAGGACAGACTCATGGGGCGTATCAATATCCCATTAGTTTTGATCACTTTTCGCATTCCAATCGGTAGAACAACCCCCTCTCCATACAGTTACTTTCCAACAACCCCCCACTAATAATCTTACCTCCAATCCCGCCCTCTCGCCCCTGCCGCAACCTCTTTACCGCAACATTCAAAATCAACCCCTGTCCCACAAAGACATTGTCCCCATCGCAATTGTTATCCAGCCAATCCATTCACCCCTAACTCACAGCTAGTCCCAATCAGTTCTTCAGACACAACGCAATATCACCGCCGTAATCACTCTTCCCTCCCCAATGCCCAGTCCACCTGTCAGATAGAGCACCCTCGCCTGTTCCCTAGCCAAAAATTAACCCCCTTTCAAACCACATAAACGCACCCCCATCGTCCCTCAGCAAGTTTTTTCACAATCCCACTACCCTGAAAATCCACCACCTCCGCCGCCAAGTCCCACTACCATGTACCCTGCTTACCCCATCGGGTTGCCCCAGACGCGCCTTCAGAATACGTACAGGGCCCGATTTCGAGAAGATAACCATAACGACCTGCAGACCAGGGATCTGACAAAAGTCAGTAACATTTTTAAAAGGGATGGAATTAGTTTTTCGGGAACTCGACAGAAAGACCCGTATAAATTTCTCAATAGAATCACTCTGTGCTATCAATGAAGTGGATGAGGCTGTGGGAGACTATATCACTAGTCTACGTAGACCAGAGCCCGGCAACCTGGACTCATCGGGCTTACGCGGCTCCCGAGGTTGGTTTGTGAGAACTGGGAGGGGCCTTATCCTAATTAACGAGACTACCTGCTCTAAATTTTCAGTCTACTTGAGCCCGGCTCCACTGATACCGGCACAGGACAATCGTGTGATCGACCGGGAATTTTCAATTTTCCATAAATTGGAAATATAAATATCAATTTTTCGCTCTAAATAGGTAGCAATATCAGGCTAAAGATTTTTTTTTATGCTTTCATGAAGAGTCACTGTTGTATCAGATGCCTGATTCTGTGGGAATATTGAGCGGATGGAGGAGATATGGAATGATTTTCGGTAGGTGTCGAGAAGGCCAAAAAATCACTGCACGCGGGTTTTGATAATGTGAGCAAAACTCACCTTATTAATTAACTAATTATTTTGCTGAGCTGTTCACAATTGAGTTACAGTGAATCAGCGGATCACAAGAGATTGAATCGAGCGGTTCCGAAAACTAAACGGGAATAATATTCCGTAGAAAAATGTGGTGAGCCGTTCTGAGAAAACGCGTATACACTGTTTCACGGGAATATTCAAATGAGAGCGAACCATCGACCACAATGTGGCAGGTGATACAGTTTTGGCGGTCACATGACCTAATTATATTTATCTATATCGGATAAAAATGAGCTGCCCAGGAAGTGGCGCCTCAGGTGTCAAAACTGATGACCCCTTGGTCATCTAAGGTGAGCGTGAGTGGAGAGAGGATGGATGAACCGCGTGTGCGACAATTATTTTGTGTCCAGACCTTATTTGCAGCAATTCAATGAATAAAAAAGAAAAATTGTCCAAAATTCTGAGGTGAAACGATAATTTTACCAAATAAAGCAAATAATTCGTGCATAAATAGTTGTTGTTGGGAAAATAAATATAACTCTGATATGAATTCAAAGGACAATTCAATGGGGAAAGCCTTAGCAGTTACGAATGAGCCCGATCGGTCTGAAATCTAACACATATCAAGTCTGTATTAAGGGTCACCGATGGACGGACCAATTCAGATTTTTGGGAATTAATTTACCGGGCTATTCTTTTTTGGTTGTAAAAATTGACCCTCAGTTGACCATCTGCATATACACACATGGCCCTCAAATTTGGCATTTTTACGTTTCAGACCCTTCGACGATGTTTTCAAAGCAAATTATAGAATAGAAAAATCGGACGATTGCAATGCTTCCATTCAGAAGAAAAAATTGAATTGCTCATTTTTTATTTTATTCATTTTCTAGAGTATCAGATATATGGTATGGTGCCCTATCATATCGTTCTCTCGATTTCCAATGAACAACAGTCCATAATGTTGGCCAAGCGTAGACAATTAATTAAGAATATATTCATGCTTTTGTATTACACATTTCTAATTATTTTCTACAAATTTCTAGTCCCAGATGTTATCCTGCCACCGAAATTACAAGTTAGAAGGTACGCTCCCCCAGAGAAATGATGTAAACATGCATTTCCTCATGTTATGAATAAAAAAAGTTAGTTATTCGTTTTGACATGGCAAAATTAGTAAATCCCACATCTAATATGAAAATCTGCAATGGAATGTTCAGGAATATGTTGCGGACGTCGAAGTTACTGGGGGCCAATAACTTAAACAACCCTCCAATGGTAACCGCAGATGGGAGCTGCCCCAAAGAATTGACAATGTCGGCAATTTAGAGATGGACCACCTCAACCACGGGTTTACCGATATCGAATAAAGAAAAGGCAGACCAATAGGGGGGGACATCTGCCCCGACTGCCTCCCCCTATTGGTTACAGGGGGTTACCAGGACCACCCTCTTATGTCAACACTGGAAGCAGTCTGAGCATACAACTAGACTCTCCTTGCAACCCCAGATCGAGTGAGCAACTTTAATCACAAGCAGCGAATCCAAAGTAAAATTTCGACTCTTGGTTATTAACGAGGGGCCCTGCTCAGCAGCTCTGCAGCATCGCCCACTCTCACCGCTAGTAGATCGAGTGGACAACTCGATTGTCTTCACTACCTCAGATCGACGGGTTTACTTCAAGGGAGGCAAGCCAGCCAGTCCCGTTACAAATTCTTGATTTTCGACGAGGGGCCCAGCTCATTATTAAAGCTGACCCTTCGTCTGAAGGGTTTGAAGATCCGTCTGTTGCGAAGCAGCTTTGCAGCGTCACCCACTCTCATCACTACAAGGCCGAGTAAACAACTCGATTTTCTGCACTGCCTCAGATCGACTGCATTCCTGCAAGCCAGCACCGACCTGGTAAATCGCTTAGCGTACAACTGAGCTCATCCTGAGTGAATAACTCAGGGAATCTTCTCGTCAAGCCAGCATGGACCCGCTAAATCTCTCAGTAGACAACTGAGTTCATCCCGAGCGTTCAGGGGAGGATATTTCTTCAAGCTGGCCATTCACCGACCTGGTGAATTACGTAACGTGCACCTGAGTTTACCCTGAGTGCCCAGCTCCGGGATCTTTCTAACCCAAGCAATATAAAGTTAGCGGGCAACCAAGTTCTACCTGAGTGGACAACTCATGCCTATCAGCACCACCAACGCCATCGGAGTCACACCATCATCATCACCAGCGCCAAAGAAGTGTGTTCGAGCAGTTTCCAACTCCATCAGTACTAGAGGATCTAACATACTTCTGGACTTCCGTGAAATCCGCTGTAAAGAAGAAACACTAAGAGATTACTCCTTCCCTGCTGCCGTTTATTTCTACAACCGTAAGTAAAAAAATACACCAACAACATTTATACTATTCTCTCCCACACCTTTTCCCTCTCTACTCCTGGTTTATAACTTGGACTTTTTTCTATTCTGTATCTCAACTGAAGTGTAATAAATTTAAATACTCTTTAACGGGAAACCGAAGGGTATCTTTCTCTTTATGTGGTAATTCCTCATATTATATCCATTTTGTACTTCAGTACTTAGGCCCCACTAAGTGAGATTTATAAGATCCTTTCTGCGCCGGATACTGCCTGTCGTGACTAGTTACGGTCAACCTATCTGAAGGGTTGACCTTTTACTAGATATTTCGAACTACTTAGTGACCCAGTGTTCACTACAGAATATATTTTGGCTCCCGAACAGGGACCTCATTACTATAAAACGGTAAAATGGTTGAAACCGTAGGGGAGAAAAAGGAGATATGAACGAAAAAATTCCAATACTTTTTTAATACAAGGTAGAAAAAAGAAAAAATCACAAGAAAAGTGGAAAAAAACTAATAAACTCCCTACAATGGAAGAGGAAAATGTTAGCGGACAGCATTTCCCAACCTCCGATAATGAAAATGAAGAATTTAGTGATAAATTAGGAGCATCAACGCCCGCGTCACACTTTATCCCAACCTCCGACAGTATCGAGGATCAGACTTTAATGGAAGCATCGCGAGTTACTCCAATCTCAAGCACCGGCACTACTTCCAAAATTAAAGCCTAACAAGTGACGCTAGGGTTAGAATGGTTACTAAACGATTAAAAATTTCTATCGCGAATACGGGAACGAAAAGAGGTACCAACGGAACAACTGATAGCTATAAAAAGTTTCATTCAAGACGACTCATCAGCTGTCGCGCTATTTCATCGAGCTGGAATTTTACCAGATGTCTGTGCCTTATTAAAAAAAAAACATTTTCCTCAACAAACGTGTGGTACAGAGTCTTACGCTTAATTAATCGGGAATTCAGACTCAGAACAATCTGGCCATTTAACCGCGGACATTTTTTTGAACACGACGGACTAGAAACTA